TATATTGTGAGATTTTGTGGTATTTATCCATTCCATCATTTCTCACTGTCATTCACAAGGGCTGATATGTGAATCAAGGCCAAAGTTCATTCACATTTATTCTCTTGGTCACTGTTTCTGAGTCTTTCATTTCACTTGAAAAGAAACACGTGTATTTCCAGGAATCATAGAACAAAATATTTTGTAGACATTAGAAAGAATTCACTTGTTGTAGATTTTCATAAACTCCATAGTAAAGGAGTTTGTGGAATTTAAGAATCAATCTAATTATTTTTTTCTTCCACAATTCAATATTGTTTGGTTATTTTCACAAATGTCATTTAGATTTTCTTTTCTATTCATTATTTATCCTGGGTCACATAAGTTTTGTTTATTTTTAGATTTGTTCTCATTGATTTTAACTTTTTGTAAAATCTTTGTATTGTGTTCCCAATAAATATTTTCTTGTTTAATTCCAATCTTCATGGATTTCTATTTCTTCTAATTTTTATGGCTGCTTGGTTTTCTTCAGAGGAGAGTTTTGCATGAACTGAGTGTTTTTCAGTATAAATTTCACAGTAATTCATGTTTCTCTTTCCCATTTCAATAGTTCACCCATGCACATAGGCAAGGATAGTGTGCAGGCCAGATTTCTAGGGACATACCTTTTTCTTTCTGAATGTAAATAAAACATGCTGTGCTTTCTTGCTTAAAAGAATAATGCCAGCAGAATTGTGACATAATATTCTACTTCCATGTGGATGAATTGAAGGTTGTCTTCTTTTCCTGAGATCCATTTGCCCACTGGTATGAATGTTGGATGTCAACTGTTTTCCTGTTTATTATGAAGATGTTTTCTGGCACACAAATATTGAATGTTTGTTGGCTTTTTTCTCTAACATACTTCTACAGTTGTTGAAGTAAGCAAAGATGTGCTTGTATTCTATTTTTGGTACTGGAAATTGTGCTCAGGCCCTTGCAAATGTCAGACAGGTATTTGTACCATTGAGAGATATCCTGGTACAAAGCTGTGATTTGTCAATGACTGTTAATTAATTTTAATGTTCATTTGGTATTGGAGTTTGATGAATGGCTTCACTTTGTAGCCTGAACTGTCCTTATTACATCACCCAAGCTGGGCACTATATCCATGGCAAGTGTGAAATTTCTGGTAATGCTCTTACATCACCATTTCAAGTGCTGAGAGAACAGGCCTATACTATTCCATTAGACTGAACACTTCCTTCTGTATTTAGGGACCAGTTAATTTGCTATGCCTCAATTTTTACTTCATTTCAAGCATTTCATATATGCTTTTTCCAACTTGTCTTCCTTTGTACCCTAGTGGAATTTCTACTGTATAAATACAAGAAGATAATTTAGTATCCCTGAGCTATAGGCTTATAGCTACATTTTCCCTAATTTCCTTGTCTATAGAATGGTCAAATAAAACTTTTCTGTCATTAAATTTTAATAATTTGTAGATCTCCTTTCATATTCCACTAAATATTTATCTATAAATCTAGACTCAAGACAATAATGCTGTTGATAAAGAAAGAGGAACTCAGTGTTATGAATAAATAAGTATTTTGTGAATGGTGGTTTGTATGCTCACTCTTTGAGGTCTGTTTTAAAGTGAAAAATTCCACTATTGGTGGCCCTCCAGGACAAACCATGCTACAGTTCTGTGATTGCTTTGGCAGTGTGTTATAGTCCAGTGTCAGTGTTACTGGGTGATTATGTCTGAATGTATTTGAGTTTTGATAACCATGACATGCAATTCATATTTGAAAGAATGAACTTCAGTTAGACTATTTATGAGAGGAACTGAGATATATCATGTTGTGTGTGCCAGAACTTCAGGACCCTTGTCATTATTTAGGAGACAGTGACCTTTGAGGATGTAGCTGTGAACTTCACCCCAGCAGAATGGGATTTGCTGACTCCATCCCAAAAGAAGCTCTACAGAGGAGTCATGTGGGAAACACATATGAATATTACTGAAACAGGTAAGGATGACATGATTAATTATACACACAGCATTAATTATTGCTCAGTGATACAGTTTAATATACTTAATAATAATATGTGTTTGTATATCTCAAGTCTGATTATACTGAGTATAAATCAAATCAATGATGTTTTAATCTACAGTTATAGTGAATGTATTTTATTTCTATGTCCATATTACAGGAAGAATATGGAATAATCAGCAAATTAAGGAAGAGGACAAAAATTGCTCAAGAAATCTAAGGTAACTGAAACACATAAGAGAAAGGGAACATTACTTGTCAGTGTGTTATCATAAATATTACAACAAAGGAACTCGAAGATATGAGATCATGCTATACTTTAACTTCCCCAAAATATCAAGAGATACACTTGGTTTTATTTTGTGTTATCTGGGAATCCATAGAAATGTATTTCAATGTAAGTATCAGAGTTAATTCTAATACTATGAAGTATATAACACTATCTAATGGTTCAGTTTAAAAATTGCCTTCATGATCAACATCATAGAAATGCATAAGAGTAAATTTAAATATTGTATTCTGATATGTAGGAAATGAACAAATTGTGAAAGTTGGTAGAAACTGATCTTCAAAATACCATTTATGTATACATGTGAATACTGCGATTTTCATGATCAAGAATTATTTTCACATAGAATCAGCATTCAAAATGAAAATGAATTCTACTGTTATAATAACTACTTTGAAAATATCCTATACAATGTTGAGCTGTTCATGTTTAAAATTCCTCGTACATTGTTGATGGATGCATAAAATAGAAATGTGGTAATAAATATTCTGTGGCCTGAAAATTAAAACATATGTTTCATATTGTTTCACATGTATCTCCACAATTATATCCTTTTTTTAAATCTTATGAGCCATGATTTTATACTGTAGTGCAGGTTGACTTTGAACTTACTGTGAAGCCCATAATGGCCTGAAACTCAGAGCAATCCTCCTGCCTCTACCTCATGACTATTGAGTGGGTTGTACTGCCTCATTATGTGTAATGATTCTCTCAGTATATTGTCAAATACATTAAAATCATCAAATGTTAGTGATCCATGAATGTGTTGTTTCTTAAAGCACATGAAAGTGGATTTACAATATCTAATACAAAAACCAACTCGCAATAGCTAATTAATGAGAAAAGCCAAGATGCCTATCACTGGAAGCCAAAGTAAAGAAAATGTGGAGTCAACTCACCATGGTGGTACATTCCTGCAATCCCAGCAGCTGGGAGGCTGGATCAGCAGTTGAAGTTGAGCTTGGGCAAGTTAATGGTCAATAAAATCTCTCCCCACAAAACAAATAATAGATCAGCAAATATAGTTTACTCTATGACTTGTGTTTAACTCCATGTTGAAAAAAATATGCTATACAGGGAACCATGATATAATTTCCCAAGAAACAAAAAGTATTGGACCTTAAGTGAAGTAAATCAGACATAGAAATGGAAATATCACAGGTTTTTTTTTCTTTTCTTTTTTTTTTTTTTTTTTTTTCTTTTTGGTACACAGGCATGGACTCACAACTTCATGCTTGCCAGGCAGGTTGCTTATGCTGCTGAGCTAAATCCTTCACCACAACTCAGGTTGTTTCTTAAATGAGAAATTAAAAACATATTTGAGTAATGAAAGTAAAGAGAGACAATATATGACAGAAATCCTTATGTTTGTAGATGAGAAAGATGATCAGACAAAATACACAAAGGGGAAAATGAAGAAATGAAGATCTAAAAAAATGATCAATGTTTGTTATTCATTTGTACCAGTCTCATAAAATGATATTAAGTATTAAAATCACGTAACAATTTAAAATTGCCAAAATAGAGCATGGGATTTATCTCAGGTGCATAAGCAAGCATGTAGTTGTGAGTTCAATCCCTGGTACCAAAACAAAAAAAGAGTAAAAATTAAAATTGCCAAAAGAATGCCATCCATTTTAGAATGAATAGTACTTTGAAAGAAGTCCTGCAAGGCAGTGAGTCAGTTAACCATTAGAATTACTTAGCAGGAATCAAACTAAATTTGTCATCATAAAATGATTGCCAATTTGGAGCCTTTTACATTGTGATTGATATCATTCTTTGTATTTCTTTACAAATGTGATAAAGATAATTATTTGAGAATTCAAGAGCATCAATATAAATGTAATGAAGATGCAGAGAACTATAGTGATCTCCAGCCTTTTCAGAAGCATGAAATGAGGAAGACTGCACAGAGACCCTGTCAATATGGGCAATATGAGGAGGTCAGATCTGATCTTAGTGAAAAAACTCACTCTGGGCAGAAAATCTTTGTAGGTAACAAAAGTTTGAAAGCCCACACAACACCTAACAATGTTCAAATCCACAAGACATTCCACAGTTTGGGAAACTCATATGTACAAAAACACTATGAGAATAGTTCTATTTCTTCATTGAATATTGAAAAACATGTTAGAAAATATGGTAGAGAGAAACATCATATAACTGAGAAATGTGCAAAAGTATTATCTCACAGTAATTTCTTTAAAAAACATAAACTTCACACTGGAAAGCAACAATATGAATGTAAGAAATGTGGGAAAGCATTCAGTGAACACAGTAGCTGTCAAAGAAATAAAAACATTCACACTGGGGAGAATACTTTTGTATGCAACAAATGTGGGAAAGCATTTAGTACAGCCTCTGCTTGTAAGGTACATGATAGAACTCACACTGGGGAGAAACCTTTTGTATGCAAGCAATGTGGGAAATCTTTCAGCCAAAATCATATTCTTATTATGCATGAAAGAATTCACACAGGGGAGAAACCCTACTTATGTAACAAATGCGGGAAATCATTCATCAGAGCATATGATTGTAAAATACATGAGAGAACCCACACTGGGGAGAAACTCTTTGCATGTAAGCAATGTGGGAAATGTTTCACCCGAAAGAGCAGGCTTATTACACATGACAGGATTCACACTGGGGAGAAACCCTTTGTATGTAAGCAATGTGGGAAGTCTTTTGCCCTAAAGGAAAATCTTATTAATCATGAAAGAATTCACACAGGGGAGAAACCGTATATTTGCAACAAATGTGGGAAAGCATTCCAGACTGCATCAAAATGTAAAAGACATGATAGAACTCACACTGCAGAGAAACCCTTTGTATGTAAGCAATGTGGGATATCTTTCATGCGAAAGCATTCTCTTATTATACATGAAAGACTTCATACTGGGGGAAAACCCTATGTATGCAACAAATGTGGGAAAGCATTCATTCAAAATGGTACCCTTATTAGGCATGAAAGAATTCACACTGGAGAGAAACCCTTTGTATGTAAGCAATGTGGGAAATCTGTCATGCAAAATCGTTCTCTTATTATACATGAAAGACTTCATACTGGGGAAAAACCCTACATATGCAACAGATGTGGGAAAGCATTCATTCAAAATGGTACCCTTATTAGACATGAAAGAATTCACATTGGAGAAAAACCTTTTGTATGTAAGCAGTGTGGGAAGTCTTTTGCCCAACAGGTCAGTCTTATTAACCAGGAAAGAATTCACACAGGGGAGAAAACCTATGTATGCAACAAATGTGGGAAAGCATTCCTGACTGCATCAAAATGTAAAAGACATGATAGAACTCACACTGGGGAGAAACCCTTTGTATGTAAGCAATGTGGGAAGTCTTTTGCCCTAAAGGAAAATCTTATTAATCATGAAAGAATTCACACAGGGGAGAAACCCTATGTTTGCAACAAATGTGGGAAAGCATTCCGGACTGCATCAAAATGTAAAAGACATGATAGAACTCACACTGGGGAGAAACCCTTTGTATGTAAGCAATGTGGGAAATCTTTCACGCAGAAGCATTCTCTTATTATACATGAAAGACTTCATACTGGGGAAAAACCCTACATATGCAACAAATGTGGGAAAGCATTCATTCAAAATGGTACCCTTATTAGACATGAAAGAATTCACACTGGAGAGAAACCTTTTGTTTGTAAGCAGTGTGGGAAGTCTTTTGCCCAACAGGTCAGTCTTATTAACCATGAAAGAATTCACACAGGGGAGAAACCCTATGTATGCAACAAATGTGGGAAATCATTCATCAGAGCATATGATTGTAAAATACATGAGAGAACCCACACTGGGGAGAAACTGTTTGCATGTAAGCAATGTGGGAAATCTTTCTGTCAAAAATTTCACCTTATTGGACATGAAAGAATTCACATTGGGTAGAAACCTTATGTATGCAACAAATGTGAGAAAGCATTTAGTACAGCCTCTGCTTGTAAAGCACATGGTAGAACTCACACTGAGGAGAAATCCTTTGTATGTAAACAATGTGGGAAATCTTTCTATCAAAGAAGTCACCTTATTATTCATGAAAGAACTCACATTGGGTAGAACCTCTATGGTACAACCAATATGCCAAAACTTTCAGTATGCAGAAGTGCTGAAAATAAACCCTTTCCATTGATGTAAGCATTTTGTGATGTATTTTAGCTATAGTAGTAGCTTTTTTGTGTAGAAAATGATTCACTCTATAAAGCATACTTATCTACATTAGAAATGATTAAATTGATTTGTTGATACATTCTCACTTTATAACATCAAAGATCCCACACTGGGGAAAAACCCTATGAACATAAGGAATATAGGAAATCTTTGCACACCATAGAGATTGCCAATACATTTAAGATCTCCTTCTATGTAGTAATTCTATGCATTTGAACAATGGTGGATACTATGTAGCACACAAAAATGCCATCAATAAAGAAATTTTTCACACAAGGAAGATATGCTATGTATGTAGGCAGTGTGGCAAAGATTTGCTGCAGTGTTTCCCTTTTGCAAACATAAGATTCCCCTCATATTGTGGAGTAATTGCATGTAAGAAATATTTGATAAAAGTTCATCTGGCCTCTGCTAACCATACTGATGTCATATTGTTTCCTGAGTTTATGTATGCAATGTGGGAAAGCATTTAGTATTCATGGTTATTGTCAAAAGTGTGAAAGTAAACCTAGTTATGTTAAATCATATGTATGTAAGTGACTATTTTGAAAATAATTTCAAAATTACTCATGTAGAGGAGACCTGGAAAAATATAAAATTATCACTGTCAACATATATTCATACATTTTTGATGACAACTTGAAACAGAATTATCCAAAAGTATTTTGTTTCTTTTTTCTAAATTACACATAAATATTTGATCCATTTGTTTGTAGTCTTTCTTTAATTTTTAAAAATTTTATTTAAAGAAAAACTAAAAAAAAACAGAAAATTGATAGAAGTAATATATTCTTTCAGAGAAAAAAGTAAGAAATCACTTGTTGATGTTTACATATTGTCATTTTACAAATAGTTGTTCAAGATACAAAAACAGAATATATAAAGTGGGAATTCAAACAGTGAGGCCGTAAACAGTTCCGTTCAACTATTCAAAAATCCTTAGTAACATGGTGGTCAATCCTACACACTTAAGCATACATGCAGTTATCCATATTTTCATTTATGTTTAGATTAAACAAGCTAAAGCAGGTTAAAATCATTCTGAACAAAGAATAAGAATATTGCTCTAAAGCAGGTTAAAATCATTCTGAACAAAGAATAAGAATATTGCTCGATTTTATGACATGACAGTCCATGATCAGCATTGGGTACTGTATTGTCTTTTTAAAATTTTTAATTTAAAGAAAGATTAAACAAAACAGAAAATGAGTAGAAATAATGCATAATTTCAAAAAAAAACCATAAGAAATAACTAGTTGTTGATTACAGATTATCTTCTTACAAATAGATATTCAAGATACTGACGTGGAACATATAAAGTGGTCATTAAAACAGTGAGATTGCAACAAGTTCTGTTCAACTATCCAATAAAAACTTAGAAATATGGTTATCAGTCTTATACACTTAAGCATACATGCAGTTATCTAACTCTTGAATTATGTTGAGATTGAATAAACAAAAGCAGGCTAATATCACCTTGAACAAAGGATAATACTATTGCTGCGTTTCACATTATGACACTCCAGGATCAACACTGGGTATTTTAATGTTCCTTTTTCTTCAAAGGGTTATTCATTTCATCAATTGCCATATGCTCAGTTCTCATAAACTGTTTATAGATTCTACACATGCATGAGTCTTAACATATATTGCTATACTTTCTGTATTAGAGGGAGAAATAAAACAAATCAAGGCAAAACAAAACATATTCCTATAAACACATGAAATGAAATAAACATAAGACCATTGTACAAATCATTCTACCATAATTCCTGTGTTGTCTCTTGCTATCTCCAATAGAATTGGGTATATCATCAGACATAGTATAATTTAATATGCCAGTACATAACAATATTAATAAAAACAGAATATTGTATATAGTATAGAACTTCAAAACTGGCAGTTGTCAAACCAGAATGTGTATTGTACAGTCCTGTCATCTTCAGTGTAGTTGCCTATACTCGCAGACTTGATACTATCAATCATATCAGTTTTGAATAAAATCTTTGCCTAATTTCTGTTATGTTCTTTTTTTGCCATCAGTTGTCTGCTTATCTTCTTCATTCTTTTTTCTGCTCCATTCATTGAGGCCTCTCTGCCAATGTTCCTGCATTCCTAATACTTTTCTCTCTCTCTAGAATGCACATTTTCTGTAGACTTGGATTGGTGGTTGCAAATTTCCCAAGTTCCTCTTTGTCTTGGAAGCATCTTGTTTCTCCATTAATTTTTAGAGACAGTTTAGTAGGGTATATCAATCTGGGATGGAGGTTATTTTCTTTCAGAGCTTGGAATATTTTGCTCTAGGAAGTTCTTGACTTGATTGTTTGTGTCGAAAAGTCTGTCATTATTCTGATAGGTCTTCCACTGTAGGTTATCTGTTTCTTGTCTCTAATAGCTTTTAATATTCTGTTCCTATATTGAATTTCTGGGATCTTGATTATTGTATGCCTGGGGGTAGCTCTGTTTTACTTGTAGGTGGCCAGAATTCTGTATGCCTCATACATCAGAATATCATTTCCTTTTCCTATGTTTAGGAAGTTTTCCTTAATTATTTCTGTGAATAATCTTTGTAGTTCCTTTGTTTGTATCCCAGCTTCTCATTTACATTCTTTATACTCAAGTTGTAGATAGATCCTTTTGTCACCTTCTAGCTTTTGTATTGTTGCTGCTTGTTTCCTTGTTATTTTTAAAAAGTTTTTCCTTTCATACTTCCACAATGCAAAATTGTCCTTCGTTTGGATAATCTATCCTTAGTTTCATTCAAGCTGACTTGCCATCTTTCCATACAGTTTTTCACTTCCTGGTGATCTTTGGTTCTGCTTCTGTATTCTATATTTATTTTTATATTCTTCACCCAAGTGTTCTTTCCTGTGTTTGAGTTCTTCCCTTCTTCCATCCGTGTCTGCTTGAGAGGTGCTTAGTATGTCTTTTATTAATCTTATATCTTGCTTTATTTGACTGAATATCTCACTTTTGAACTCATCTATGAGGTCCCAAATATATCTCTTTATGTCCCCTGTTGCCGAGTCTGATACTGCATGTTTACTGTTCTCATTCTCCTTTGTATTTACCTGTCCTGGATCAATGTTTTCTGGGTTGGGGCCTGATGGCTTTTTATTGTTGTTTCCTCTTTCCCATCTTATTTGTTTCTTCCAGGAGGCCCCAGTTCCTTTCTTTGTTGGTTACAATTCTTCTGAAGTGAGCTGGCCTGATGATCCTTCAAAACTGCAGTGTGTAAGTGAGTTGCAGACAGGGACAGTGTATGCTGGCCCCTCCCCTCCAACTCAGTCAAGCTGCTGTGGGCTGCACTACTGTATTACTTTGCACCACCTCCCTCCAGACAGCCAAACTTCCAAGGCCCCACTGGGCCAGTGTGGTTAGAGTGTGCCACCACTGCAGGGTCTCGACCTTAGGTAACCTATTGGGTCTCAGCCAGATCATGTGACCCAGGCCCCGTTCTCTCTGTTCAGGAAGGGAACAATTGGCTGAAGTCACTGCTTCACCTTTAACTTGCCAGCTCTGCCTGATCCCAGAATGTCATTAACCGCCCCCCCCCCCACTTATGGAATGGCTCCACCCCTGTCACTCACTACAGGTCGATGTAAGCTTTATGCCAACTCAGCTTTCCATTGGGGTCACTGGTCCCTGAACTCAATGTAACTGTGTCTTCAGTGAGTTGAAGTGGTGGGACCACTGACAGCTTGGCAAGTTGCGGTGGGACATGGGCCAGTCATGGCAGGACCCCAGGAGGTCACTTGCAGGGCCTGAGCAAGTTGCAGCAGGGCCTCTCGCCAAGTCACAGTAGGACTCTCAGCAAGTCATGGCCGGACGTCTCAGCAAGGTGCAGTGGGACCCTGGCAAGTCAAAGTGTCAACCAGTCATGGCGGGACCTTGGATGGTTGGCAAGTCACCTTAATTTCTTCTTGGGACAAGAGAATTCATCTCCCTCTGTTTGGGGCTCCCCACTCTGTTTACAAAGAAGGGTCTACACATTCATATTCAAAATTATGCTTGTATTCATGGCCTATATCAATGTAGCCATCCTAATGTTAAGATATATCAGCAAAAATGCAAAGCAGACTCAGTCACTGTCAGAAACAGGATGAACTTAAATTAGGGAGAAAACTTATCATGCAAGACATTTAGAAACATGTTCGATACACAAACAATTTATAAAAAATATGATAGAACTCACAGTAGAGAGAAAGCCTATGTAGGTGTATAAAGTGGAAAGTGTTTCAGTCAGTGTAGCAATCTTGTCCATAAAATAATTCACACTTTGGAGAAAACTTATATAAGTCATATTTTAAAAGATCTGCTGATAATCCACATTTTGTATACATAAAAGATCCCACACAAAGAAAACTTATGTGTATAAGCAATGTGGGAAATCTGTCAGTCAAACCCAAAGCATGTAAACGCATCAAAGAATTCACAATGGGAAGAAACCCTATGTAGGCAAGCAATTTGGGAACACATTCAGCTTGTTTTGTACCTGATGAACACATGAAAGGACCCACAAGGGGGAGAATCTGTATGCATGTAAGTAATGCAGAAAACTTGTCCACCACCAGTGATTATAATGACATGAAAGAGTTCATATAAGGAAGTAACCCTATGAATTCCAACAATGTAGAAAA